TGGAAGCTACTGGTATATGGATCATACAGCCTTATGCTATGTATGTTTTATATCTTGTCATAGCATGTGAGATAGAAAATGTAGCCTGAACTTTGGTTCCACAACAAACAATTTTCGGAGTAGTGCTTCTATGTGACATGTGGCTTGTAAAGTTTGTCTTATCCACTTGTTCTACCAAACCAAACCTAATAGCCTTCTGTGCAAAAGTCAAATCGGTTTCCATATTTAAAATAGTTCACTCAGCAACTATAATGAAAAAATTGTTACCGAATATAATCATGGCCACTAAGTATAACCATGTCCTTATCAAGTGGAGTATGTCTTCATGTTTGGACTTTTAGTTGGAGCGCTGACTGACAAATAGCTACTCCCTTTTATATGCGTAAATCCCAATGGCTTTCTCATGGCCACCGCGCAAGCACTTGTGTTATATAGATAACTGTACCCAAGTTGATCCTCCATATGATAACTTCATCATGCTATATTTTGCTAAGCACTAGGTAATGATCAGTTCAAGCCTAAGCACTCAATACTTTGTAATATTAATAGTAATATATAGGGTACTCGAAATGATATCGCGCAAAGTCATTTGAGCTGGCTTTCGATTGCAGCTTCACAACTATATCGTGTCTGGCTTTCGATTGCAGCTTCACAACTATATCGTGTAAGAAGTTTGCGCGATAACTTTACCGCAACTTTACAAGATGGACAGTACATGGCACATAAGGCGCGATAGCCCTTATATAAAGCTAGGTTTTAAAGGTTGGCCAAGGTGTCCAAGTACTTAAGGCCAAAAACCGATTATGGGCGCGACAATATGAAGAAAAACTTAAGGCCTAGTAAATAGGTCCTATACTCAGCTCGACAAACCTACACGGTCTGTAGGCGGTGGACGTTTGGAACTTTTTGCAGCAACTTAATCCTATACTTCCAAGAGTAATATCACTGCGCACTGTACTGTAGGCATATATACATATATTTATTAGCAGGTTTCGAGTAGTATCTATATCGCGCACTATCCCGATAAAGGTAGACAATGGCTGCAGGACTTCTCATGAATTATGATCACATATGGGACGTGTTCATGCATCAAACTTGACGAAGCCTTGAGTATAACACTGTGCTAATAAAGCCTTGGGTGGGTTGACGTGTATTGCGCTAAAAATTAGTACATGCGCGATGTTGTACCCTCCTCGGATAGCATGTAATGATACACCAATCTACATACACCATAGCACATACGTTGATGTAATGGATTAAAAGTGGCTTGAGCACCGCTCTGTATTACCGTGAGGTGTAACTGACAGATCTCATAGTAAATATAAGTATGGATTGAAAATATGTTTAACTTTTGAAGCATCCTGACCTATTGGTAGCATCGCACATTATTTTCCTTGACTGGTAAATAGATAAATTTAGTAAGCTTTAAGGTGAGTCCAGATGGTGAGTCCACACAGTTTGTAAGAAAACTCTTTATTTGTCTATGCCTCTCTGAACGTAGGATCATCTCGCATCTAGGCATCCTTTTTTTTATCATCGTTGTGATAACAAGTCTTTCAGTAACATTCTTTCAAAATACTTAAGGTATGGGAAATATGACACATATGTGGCGTAATAATCCTTCGTGGGCTGTAGGAGGTGGAGGGTATAATGGAACTACGGGAAATAGGACCATCACTACAGCTTGACCGCCAATAGTTTAGTTTGTTGCTCTCACATGCAACACCTGGGAATAATATGTATCATCTCACATTCAAGTTTCTACATCGCACATGCAAGTTTCAACATCACGCAGCTTCCGTGTATCATCGCGCACTGACCAATGTGCAATACATGCATGAAGCCAATTAGTGCGCACTACATGCATGAAACCAAATGGCTATTTTATGTTACATGCATGAAGCCAAGTGGCCCTCTCGTGGCAATCGCATAAGCATATGAGAGATACCAAGATAGCAGCGTGTTTTGAAGCTGGGTACCAAAAATTCATTTCCTCAACATGTAAAAATTCATATGCATCGCGCATGTCATGTCCAAGAAGAATTAATGTACAAAGTTGTATGAAAATAATAGCGAGATAGAAAAGTAAGAGTATGAGAGCTTCCCTGGTATTCTTCAGCGTTGGTTTTGCACGTGGTGGTGGGAGTAGAAATTTATCGCTTCCCACCGACGGCGCCAATGATCGGAACATGTTTTTACAACTGGGCCGATCATGTGATCTTCCTCTACACAGCCTGAAATAGTCTTGGGTCAGAGCATCTTGCAGTTGGGCCGCTTTATCCCATGGGTCTTCAATGGAACGCGATGGGGGGTGTACCTGCAAGACACTCCGACGCTCAAGTCAGATTTGGTTCGAGCAGGTTTAATTATGTAGAAGAAGACATGTACCTTTGTGTTAATAGGTATGTATTTATAGTAAAGTGATAAGCAGCTTGGGAGATGTTACTTAGTGATCAAGTTTGCTTTGTCTTGGAGGCAAAGTAATAGAGTTGCTATGCTTAATGTTGAGGAGCTTGTTTGTCGTGTAGCCATTAATATTAAGGAGCTCGCTGAGATAGCCTTATCTTCTAATGATCAAGCTATCTTTGATAAAGTCGCGGCGAGCTGGTGCTGTCATTTGTCTATTAGTTTAGGGACGTGGTGGGCTTGCCTTGGTTCTTAAGTAAGCTTCCTTATTTCTGGATCTTATATCAAAGGGCGGTTTCATGCGCGATGGGAGCATCGCGTCTTGCCCTGCGCAATGGGGGCATTGCGTCTTGTGCGCGATGTTGACCATCGTGCTTTACTCTGGATCCTTAATGAGATTGAGCTTCCTTGTATGTCATTGGGCCTTTGACGGGCCTATATTTTATCCGGATCCGATTAGATATTTTTTACTTCAAAACTTATCCAATTCAAATCACGAACACCTTAATATTTTATAAAAGGATAATATTAAAGTATCATACATAGCACAATTTGATTAATCTATTTTTTAAAAGAAAAAACTATAACAAAAGAATGGCGCATGGAGAACGCGCCATTTGCCACTCCTTTTGATACAAAATTTTCATCCTATCTCGTGTTAGTACATTTTGGTGACCCAAAAATCGTCAATGACCCATGATTTTAAAATATGATGATTGTTATTTTGTACATTTCTTTCGTAGAAGAAAAGCGTAACTTATTTATTAGTTGGAAAAAATTGTGTGTTATTTTAAATGACACATTGTATTATTTTATAGACACAAATAGAATCTATATTTTTATTTTTTTGTCTTTATTTTTTTTAGTGAAACCCATATCATTTTATGTCTATAAACTAAGAGAAATCATACTCTTATGTTGTATGAGATAGGTCTTTTATGTTACTCTCATTTCGAAAAATATGTCTCTTTTTTTCTTTTCTTTTTTAAATTGACGAGTTTTATTTTATTTGTCTTTTAACATAAGAGAATTTCTCTCATATTACATGAGTGAAATAATCCTCATAAATTAATATAATTTATATTATTTAAAATGATAAATATTTTTATTGACAATTTACAGTTTTATGCATTAAAAAATGAATTAATCAAGTGTTCTACACGCGGAAAAGCACCTGCCACTAACCAGCAAGGCCAATAATTGATGCTCACAACTCTGACCACCGTCGAACAGCATATTACATTATATTATTCTTCAATTAAAACAATTTTAATATCTGTCGTTAATAAAGATTTAATATTTTGTTGCACACGCTTGGCAGTAGAGAAAACTGATGAGCGATTAGTCAGCTGGGCAAGTGGGAAAACCGGTTCAACCTGCTCGTTAAAAAAAGGCAAAAGCAATTGATTCTTATATGTTACTTTCTTTCTTTTTTCTCCCACGTTGGTAAGATAGGTAATAACGTGGTAATATAAAAAAAAGAATACAATTATCACGATAGAATTATTATCTCATATCATCATACACACAAAATATGGCTATTTGACCATTTTGCCTCTTATTAATTAATTAATAATTATTTTATCCCTTACTCAGAATTATCTACTAATCTGTCCCTCTTTAATCGATTAACTTGAAGATTTAATCGATTAAATGGTCAAAACTGAAAAAAATAGTTGACTTGAAGATTTAATCGATTAAATCTTCAAGTTAATCGATTAAATCTCCTTCTTAATTTATTTAATCGATTAAAACTTGTATTTAATCGATTAAATATCTCAAATGAACGTGAAAGTATTGATACCAACTCGTAAAATGACAACTCTTAATAAAACGCAATCATCTCTTATTAAATACAAAACACAATCACCTCTTATTATTAAATACAAAATACAATCACCTCCTATTAAATACAAAACGCAATCAGCTCCTATTAAATACAAATTTTATTAAGAGCTGATTGCGTATTATTAAGAGTTGCCATTTTATCAATGCTTTCACGCTCATTAGAGATATTTAATCGATTAAATATAAGTTTTAATCAATTAAATAAATTAAGAGGGAAATTTAATCGATTAAATTAAAGATTTAATCGATTAAATCTTCAAGTCAACCATTTTTTCCAGTTTTGACCATTTAATCGATTAAATTTTCAAGTTAATCGATTAAAGAGGGACAGATTGGTAGATAGTTTTAAATAAGAGGCAAAATAATTATTAATTAATTAATAAGAAGAAAAAAGGTCAAAAAGCTCACAAAATATACCTAACTTACTCTTTGAAAAAATATAAAAAATAAATATTGATATAATTTTTAGAGTATATTTAATCTCATGTTGTATGAAAGAAACTATCTTATATTTTAAACAGACGTATGATGAGATCCATAATTTATATATAAAAAAATATCACAGTTTTCATTGAATCTATTGAAAAAAAAAACTCTTATATTATATAAGAGTAATTTTTTCCTAATTTTTAATATATAAATACGAAGGATACGTTATCTTGTATAACATTAAAAAATGTCAAAAGCATATTTAAAAAAAAAAAAATGTTAAAAGAAAAGCATCATCGCCTAACTTGAGACCTTACATAAAAGAGAACAAGCTGTTCTGTTCTGTTCTGTGTGTTGTGTCCAGAGAGAGAGAGAGAGAGAGAGAGAGAGATGGCGGCTGATGTGCGGTGCTGTGAAACAAAATTTTGGTTGTACCTGGTTGTGATTGTAGGGTTGGTGTGCTTTGCGGGGCTAATGGCTGGTCTCACTCTCGGTCTCATGTCTTTGGGTCTCGTCGACCTCGAGGTTCTCATCAAGTCTGGTCGTCCTCAGGATCGCATCCATGCTGGTACGACGCCGTTTTCCCTGCTTCTTAATTCGTTAATTTAAGTCATCAACAACTTAGATCATATGTCTATTCATGTATCGTGTATCTCTAGTTTGAGATAGATTATTCTTCTCTTTTTTGTAGCCAAAATTTTTCCGGTGGTTAAGAATCAGCATCTTCTGCTTTGCACACTTTTAATTGGAAACTCCTTAGCCATGGAGGTACTGTTATGCTCTTGTTGCTTTAATAAACTGATTTAACTTTCTTTTTCTTTTCTTTTCATTGAGGGGAATTGGTTATGCTTTCCTTTGCTTAATTACAACACTCTCTTCCTTTTCCATTTTTCATTGCAGACTCTTCCCATTTTTCTTGATGCGCTTGTGCCTCCCTATGCAGCAGTCTTGATTTCTGTCACCCTCATCCTCATGTTTGGAGAGGTAAATATTGATTGAGGTGATGAGGAACAAAAATCAAACCTGTGCTGTCTTGTTTTTGTAAGGTTCCTTCTTCCATGATTGCTAATTTTGTCCAATTGAATGTGATACTACAGATATTGCCGCAAGCAGTTTGTACTCGATATGGATTGACTGTTGGAGCAACACTGGCCCCACTTGTTCGTGTTCTTCTTCTAGTATTCTTGCCCATTTCTTATCCAATCAGCAAGGTGTGCTTAGAGTGTGTCTATATATGTATGATTAGTATGATATTGTATGAAACATATTTGATGAAGATTGTAATAATTCTAGGTTCTTGATTGGATGTTGGGTAAAGGACATGCTGCTCTTTTAAAGAGGGCCGAGCTCAAGACTTTTGTCAATTTTCATGGGAATGAGGTATATAATTCGAAATTCCAAGTCCCGAGAGGAATTAATCAAACAGTTGCCTTTATATTCATTTGAATGTTTTAAGATGCGTTTATGTAATATTTTGATGTGGGTTTATGAAATTATATTACTTATGTTCCAGTTCGTTCAATACGGCTCTGCTTTGTGATCTAACGTAGCATGGCTATACTTTTGCTTTCTTGTCTAGGCTGGTAAAGGAGGAGATTTAACACATGATGAGACAACCATCATAACTGGTGCACTTGAATTGACTGAGAAGACTGCAAAAGATGCCATGACTCCCATATCAAAGGCATTTTCCCTTGATCTGGATGCAACTCTAAATTTGTGGGTTTATGAATTCTTTATTATTCTCTCCACCATTTTTATGTCTTCTTTTATTCTAAAAATGTCCTCCGTTTCTGCGCTGAAGGGAGACACTGAATTCAATAATGACAAAAGGTCATAGTAGAGTTCCAGTTTATGCAGGAGAGCCAACAAATATTATTGGACTGGTTCTGGTAATTTTTCTTCCTTTTGAGATTTTGTAAGTGGATGCATGGGATTGTAGATTGCTAGTACCAATAATAATGCCCATTTAATAATCTTCTGTTATAATTCTCATAATCAACTTGGAATCTTCTGTTACAATTCTTGTAATCGTATTGGATAGGACTTGATATTGTGGTGAAAATTATCATGTTAAGTTTCCAATTTATCTATTAGTTTTTGTGCATTGGTGTGTTTGGCTGCCTCAAACTATCATATGATTGTTTAGCCTTTCTTGCCCCTTCCCTCTTGCTGTAGATTATCTCAATTATTCTTGGCATCAATTTATCACTTTGAGATATAAAGTTTTGGAATATGATATTTGAATTTATTGTATGTAGTGAGTAACGTTAATGAGGATTATTGATATACAATTGGTTTTTTGATCCATTGTTATAATGGTTGCTCAGAGGAAATGCATAAATAATATATAAATCTGATCTTTACACAGAAGTATTAAGGGTAGATGAGGGGAGAAGTTTATGAGGATTGATGTCAAGCTTGAAACCTTCTATCGTATCCTGATTGTTTTTATTGTTTATGATATACCTAATGATAGATTATGGATCTGATATTATGTGAAGGGTATACCTATAATGTAATAGAACATCAGCATCAAGGCACTCTGAAATAAAATGGATTTGTTGCGTGATAGATAGTAACAAAAAAAAAATTTGGAAATCCTGCACTTTCTATTTGCTATTATGTCACTTATGCATTGTAATTGAACGGTTTGTTCTCTTATATACGTACAGGTTAAAAATCTCTTTATGGTTGATTCAAGGGCTGCAGTTTCTCTAAGAAAAATGATCATTAGAAAAATTCCTCGGTAAATTCTTTTTCATACACATGAGATGAGATACATTATCCTTACCTATGAACTTGATGGTATATGTATTAGCATTTTTGTCTATTGTGTATTGTTGTTGATATGCTCGGACAATCACTAGGTATTCATGATTTCCTCTTCATCCTGCAGTGTTTCAGAGAACATGCCTCTGTATGATATACTGAATGAATTTCAGAAGGGTCACAGTCATATTGCAGTTGTGTATAGGGATCTAAATGATAAAAGGGAAGCACCCAAAAAAGTTAAAGATGGGGAACAACTTGAGTTTAAGGACAGCTGTAAGAACAAAGGAGAAACCACACCCTTAGATATAGGTAAAGATTTAGATAAAAGTAGAATAAACTTCATTTTGTACAAAGCATGCTTTTGAAATATCATGTATGGTTAGCAATTTGTTATTTTGTTAAACTCATAAAGCGGGATACGCTAAATTGTTCTTTAGTTCCCTTGAAGGGGTCATCTTTTCTCTTGTTTGCTGACCTTGCTGATAATTTATGAAGCTTTTGTACCCAGAAATTGTGTTTACTTTTGGGAAGGTCATTTTCAGCACCACATGGTTTTTACTTCACGTTTGTAGTTTCCTTTCTGTATCTTTAAGACATATGCCTCAATTGCATTCCTTGGTCTCATGAACCTTTGTGGTTTGATTTACTCAGTGAAACTTTTGGTGATTATCTTATTCACCTGACTGTGGCCACAAATATAGGTGCTAAATTGGAGTCACGCGATACTTTGACTACTATTACTAAGATTGATGGCGGTGCACAGGTCAAGAAAAGCCCACCAGCAACTACTGCTTATAAAAAGCGACACAGAGGTTGTTCATATTGCATCCTGGACATTGATAATGCCCCCCTGCCAATATTTCCACCCAATGAAATGGTTGTTGGTGTTATTACAATGGAGGATGTCATCGAAGAACTTCTTCAGGTTAGATGTTTTAATGTACACTAATTAGAATGAGTGGTTTAGGGTTAATATATTTATTTATTTATTTATATATTTTATTTTTTTTTATTTTTTTTTAATCTCCTCTTGTTTATCATTGGGTTCATCTACCACCGACCCCAATTAGCTTGGGGTTAAGGTGTTGTTAATGTTGATGATGTAATTAGAATGAGTGGTTTGGGCTCCACATTATTTAGTCCTGTATGTATGTATGTTTTGATATACTTATTTTTAACGATGATGATACGACTCTGGTTGTCACTAACACAATGATGAAATCTGCCTTTTGTTTTTTTGTCCGTTTATGCACCATTTGTTTTTACTGCAGTTGCACATAACTTCCCCTCCAATATTCCTGTCACATGTGTGCTCAGTATGGATGATTATGTACTACTTTAAAACCAAAAACCACTCCCCAATTAAACCCGACTAGCGAGTGTGGGACTGTGGGGTGAGGGCAATCCTTGTACGGAGCCTTACCTTTGCAAATAATTGCAAAGAGGCTTTTTTTCCGGATTCAAACCCGTGACCTTTCAGTCACAAAGAAACAGCTTTACCACTGCTCTGGTTCGCCCTCTGTGATTATGTACTACTTTATTAAAAAAAAAATCACTCTTCATTAAATCCTGACTAGCAAAGGTGGGGTGAGGGCAATCCTTGTACGCAGTCTTACCCTTGGATAATTACAAAGAGATTGTTTTCTGGATTCGAATCCGTGACCTTTCAATCGCAAAAGAACAACTTTACCACTGCTCCAGGCTCGCCCTCTTTTACGTAGTACTTCATAGTGTATTGAAAAAAGAACTACGTGATTTGACTTCTACAGGATTACTTTCCTTTTTCTTGTAGGTGTTACAAATTGCTAGAATGGGTTGTTTTGTTGCTAGAGCTTTTAGCTTCATATATTATGATTTGTTGAAAACGCAACTACAGGTTTCATGCTATCATTGCCTTTTAATTCAGTTGTATATGCTGATCCATCTTCATTATATCTTTGTGCATTTCAGGAGGAGATCCTAGATGAAACTGATGAATATGTCAATATCCATAACAAGTAAGTCTAAAATGGTTCCCTCTTAATTGTCATCTTAAGGCCACCAGTTTAATTAGATAACTTAGTGGCAAGTTGACAAACTCTTTTCTTGGTATTTGGTTTAGTGTAGTTTGGCAGTAAAAGAACACCGTTAGTTTGTAGTATGAAGCATTTTATTTTATTTTATTTTTGGTAAACTAGTATGAAGCATATTAAATTGATCTAGCTCTTGCCAATGCAGGATAAAAGTAAACATGAATGCTTCTAAGGATAAGGCCCCTGATGCAAATCTGTTGCAGCCTTCTCCTTTAGCAGTTCAAGGACACACACCAACGAATTCGATTTCTACAGCTACTTCTGCAACGGGCTCACCTACCACAATTGAACCAATCTCTGAAAGCGAGTCTCTCAGGCATTAGTAATTCATTCATGAAGAATAGGAGAATAACATAGGTTTGTGTTGAAAAGGCAGAGCAGTATATAGTTTTTGTAAAAGTTTCCATGAATGACATTATGCTATTAGGGTTATATAAGTATAATATTACAGGAGGAAAAAAAAATTTCTCGCAGACACAGTAAAGAGGTAGGGTTCACTTTTTTTTTTTTTTTTTTTTTTATCAGTCCACTTTCTCTCTCCTCTTCTTTGCTGTGTTTGCTGAAATTTTTATTTTCCTGTTGTAACATGATACTTATATAACCCATGTTATTATGCAGAAAGGAACACTATATATATATAGAATATATTTAAATGTTAAATATTCCTGTTGCATCATTTCCTAAAGAGTATTGTATGTCTGTATTGTAACACATCCAGCGAGACACTCATTATTTTCTGTTATTTATCTTGACAACAACAGCACTTCACGTAGCATTACCGAGGATAAATACTTTTTGGAGCTATGCTGTTGTCTATTTGAAGGTTATGTTTGGATAGAGGATTTCAAAGGGAAAGGGGAGGGAGGATAATTTTTAAAAAAAAGTTAAGAGAATTATATAATAGTTATAAAAATAAATAAGAAATTATAAGAAGTTTTATTATTTAATTTCTGGTATTAAAATATAAATTAATGGATATTTATCTAAAATAAAACCTTTTTTTCCCTCTTTCTCTTTTCTTTCAAAACTCTGTCAAATGTTACATAAGATAATTTATGCCAGTTTTCTATAAATATTTATTAAAAAAATGTGATGTTTGATATTCTACTTTTTTTTTTTGTTGGTAAATTGATATTCTACTTTAGTTACTGAACAGAAAATTGTTTTATTAAATTTGGTTGGAAGGCAAGTAGAAAATTAATTCCCTGTAACTTCTAGCCTTACATAATTTGGGAAACAGTATGCATTTCAAGGAAAATACGATTTAGTAAAAGGGTTCGCTTTTTTTTTTTGTAAACTCAATGCGACGTCGTTTTGAAACGAAAATTATGATGTTTTTGTAATTTTAATTTATTTCAGAGTTATTATAGTCTTTATAATTATAATTATTTAGTTTTTAAATTTTAAAATGACATTGTTTTAGAAATAAATGCAGATAACTTATTTGTAGTAACTGTAGAAATATTATTCTGATAGTAAATTATTATTTTTTTCTTTAGCATGTGTATAAATGTGCAGATGTAAAAAATACAACGAAGTCCATTGTAATTAAGCGATAAAAACGGTACCGTATTAAAGTAATGCATATAACATTTTTCAGAATAGATTGGTATCAAAATGGGTAATTGGGTATGTCATATATGAGCGTTTTAATTCTAGGAGGCGTTTGGTTGAGGAGAAATTTTATAAATAATAGAGAAATAATATACATAGGAAAATAGTTGGAAAGTGAGTTTGGTAAGAAAATGTTAAAAAAAATTGTTTAGTTGGAATAAATTTTACTGGACAAATTAAGTAAAATTTATAAAGTCTATGTTTGGATGTAAGTAAAATATAGATAGAAAAGAGGCATGAAATTACGATAATAACCCTGTATTCAAAATATTTTGAATCATGCATGGTACCCTTTATCCGTATTGTAAGAGTTGTCATGTCCCACCTTCCATATGTTGAAAAAGTGTAAGTTGCCAATGAGCATAAAATAAAAAACGAAAAATATAACAACTATGTATATTGATAGACAACGAGAAATACCACATATGAAGTGGGTTTTTTTGGACGACAATTTGGATACAAAATGATAGACAAAGTGGTTTGCTAGCATACTCATTTAAGCAGGTAAATTTGAAAAATCTTTCAACCAAACATGGACAGCCTATTATCCCATTTCGCATTTGCCTATCAATTTATCCAAAAACCTCTAACCAAACACACCCTAATGTTTGTTTTATAAGTCACAGCTTTAGCAATATATTTCCATGATTATGTTGTGTTGCTCATCGTTTCTCAAATTCCTTCGGTTGGCTTTCCTTGCACTTGGAAGGGAAAATGGAAATATTATGACACACTTATTAAGCACGCGTTGACTTTCCTTGCACTCCCATTTTCTTCTCATAAGTTTATGGGTTTTGGTTTTATCCTTTAACATAACATAACAAATTTTTCTACACTCACAATATTTTGTGGGGCCCACACTTTTTAAAACAAAAAAATAAATAAAAAATTAAGGCACGCAAAACGAATCTCTATAACATTACACAATCACTTTTCCTACAACATAACTCTTATAAAACCCTAAGTTTATACGTGGATTTTGATAATAATAATACTTGACAGATGGTTCACCGGTTAACCATCTATTATCAACCGTTCGATATATATTACTTTAAGTGGTGTTTGGTTGGGAGCTTTTCAGCGGATATCTATCTTTCTCAAGTATGGCTTTTCGAAACACCATGTTTGTTTCAACGTTTTTCACCAAAAACTCATCTATCCAATTTGTCTGGATTTATGATAAACATAGATATCCGCACTGTTTAGAAACCCAATTTGAAGGTGAGATTTTTCGGAAAACCGGTTATCTAGCTTTTAATGCACTGTTGATTTCATAAAGCTACCTAATTTTCCCTGTAAAAGTTTTTCCCCACCAAACAACTTTATTTTACATTTTTCTACTTATCTCACTTTATCTTTTTTTCAATCATTTCTCTATCTATCTCATTTCCCTACTATTTCAAAAAAATTTCCTGAACCAAACGCCCCCTAAGGACAACTTGCTTCAGAGGTAAAAGCTACTCGGTTTAATGTTTCTACAATAAATATAGATAAATTATTTATATTGTTTCTCAAAATGATATTATTTTGTGTTAATAAATTAAAAGAATTATAATGAGAAAAACTATTATAACACTAAAATAAATTATAATTATAAAAATATCTTGATTTTCGTTCTAAAACAATATTGTTTTGAACTAAATATAAATAACCTATTTACATTTTATTGCAAAAAAAAAAAGAACTCAAAACTATTATGTGTTTATTTTTAGGGTAAAATATTTATCCAGTTAATGGAGATAAGTTATCTCGGGCGAACACAAAATGACGTCGTTTAGTAGTAAAAATCAAGGTGTTTTTGTAATTCTAATTTATTACAAAGTTATATTAGTCTTTATCATTATATTTTTTAATCTTCTAACCTCAAAACAATGTCATTTTAAATTCACCGGAGATAACTTTATTTCCAGTAACTTAAAAAATATTGTTCCCTTATTTTTAAGATGATAAGTTTCTAAGAGAAAACTTATCACTTGCAACAAACATATGAAAAAAAAATAGAGCCCACAAAAAAAAGGATTTTATTAATTGCATGTTAAAGGAGATAAGTTATCTCATGTCATAGAGATAAATTTTTGGACTCCACCACTTGAAAAATAAAAAGAAAAAAGTGGCACAATTATCGAAAAGTGTGTAGGAAAGAAACTTATCACATGTAGCATGAGAGTAAATTTTCCCAAAAAAAAAAAAAAAAACTCAATAAGGCTTTTGATGTTAGTGTAGGAGGAATAAAAACTCTCCCGCCATACCTTATTTTTAAGCATTAATATTTGTGTTTAAAGTTTTTAAAATTATTTTAAATAATTTTATCTAATATTTATCAAAATATATACCTAAAAATATATGGAGTCCATTTTTTTTCTCTTTTCTTTTCACATGAGTCCATATGAATCCGACACACTTTTTTGTGTGTATTTTGATAAACATTAGATAAAATTATCTCTTTTTTTAAAAAAAATAATCCAATCGGTTCACTTCGCGACTAGTTCAATTGGAGACAGGTCCCAGGATTAAGGCTTTAAACCCCTCTCAAAGGATTGAATACATGCTCTTACTCCCACTCTGTTCCCTGATACTAACTGAGTTACCATTATTTGATTAGATAAAAGTAATTTTAAAAACTTTAAACACTCAATATTTTATTTATTTTGTAAACCCCACGATGACTTTCTTTTTTGTAATTTTTTTTAGGGTTTTATAAGAGTTGTGTTGTAGGAAAAGTGATTGTGTTATGTTATAGAGATTCGTTTTGCGTGCCGATTTTTTTTTTTTTTTTGCTGCGGGCCTCACAAAATATTGTGTGTAGAAAACTTTTTATGGTATGTTAAATGATAGATGATAAACCCTTTTTTTTATATACCCAAGTGTTCATGGATTAATGCACTAAGTCAATTCGACTACTATAGAATCATTACAAGCATGATTGTTAAAATCTCGATTTATCACTAAAATTTTATGTTTTTATGATTTTTTTCATGAAAATGATTTTATCAATATTTCAAATGCTTTTACGTTTTTACGATTTTTTTATATTATAATTTTACAATTTATGATTTTTTTGTCCTTTTCTAATTTTACTTAAAATCTCAATTTTAACAACGAGGTGTTCTCCCATTAATATTTTATTCTTTCTCAAGAAAGCTCCAACCCAAAATCCCTGTAAAGGGAAACAAGCTTACCAATTTGGTTATTTTCTCCTTTTTGCATTTTGAGCCCTTGTTTCTCTTCCTCCAAAATCAAGTCTTCCCGACACTCATATTTGAAGAGATGTAAGAGGTCCGGTATGGCAACGGAGCAACCAAGACGTCGCCGGATCGGATAGGCTATTTGTCTCCGCAGGATGGTCCGGTTATAAAAGCATGACTAAATGTAATACATGAGTGTTAAAAACTTGACAGGTAAAATTTTACCATATTTACGACATATTTTATGAGAAGTTCAAGCTTTTTTTACTGAAAGAGAAAGAAATTGGACCTATCTTAAAAAAAATAAAAAATAAAAAAATAGTTGGCACTATATCAGAGTAAAAGTACTAGGAGAAATGTTACCCAAAAAAAAAAAAAGTACTAGGAGAAAAGATTTCTCATTTGCATGAGAAGTCTTTTTCCCATTTATGAATATGTCCAACTCCAACTAAATTAATCGAGTAAACTATAGAAAAAAAAAATAGGTTTTTACATTTGGAAGGGAAGTGTGATTTACCCCACATTTGGAATAGCACAGTGGACAACAGAAAATTAATGTTACTACGTCAATTTTTTTATTTTTGTCTTTTTGCCAGAATTATGTCAGTTAATATGAAGACTGATGTAAAATGTTATTATGTCAAACCCTTATTTGCTTCCAGCCTTCAGGTGCCCCCTTCTTGTCTGAACCACGCTTTCACACAGCTACAACTATGTTCTGGCAATTTTACTTGTGCCATCAATTATCATCCATCTGCCAGCTTCCTTTTAGCTGAAGACATTTTTGGACCACCATATACAATCGTCGTATTTGAAAACCTAACTCACATTAATCAAATTTGCTTTTGTAAGTAGTTGCAAATATCAATAATTTTGTGGGATGTAACTATCCTACTTCTAATTTGCTTTATGTTGGAAAACTACATAAATCACTTCTGATTAAATCCCGATATAGGGACAATTCTTGTACAAAGGCGCTCAGCATGATAGCAGTTTCTGTAATTAAATATTTGAATGTTTATTCTTTTTATTAGAAGCGTTATTCTCATCTTCATTTCTATAATACAATTCGTACAAAAAGAACGACAAAAAAAAAAGTTATTAAAAAATTAAAAGAAAACAACAGAACAAACCCTCCGAGAAGGAACAGTGAATTTTTTTTCTTCAACCTGATAGGTACTTTAGTTGCTGAGGTAGTCAGTTACTATGGACTGAACACGTGTCATGTTATTCCCAGTCAACTCATTCAATCCAAAGTCGCTGAAGTAGTCAATTACTTTAATGCAACCAGGCCTTTCAGTCATTGAAAAAGTGACACGTATCTTGTTTATAGTAGTTGATTATCTCAACAACTATCATATCATGATAATTTGAGAAAAAAATTCGATTCCATAATATTCAAGTATATTATATTTAAAAAGAAAAAATACTGTGAATTTCCCACGATATTCTTTGTTCACACCGCACCCCGCTGCTCTTGACAAAAAATATTTTATTGTCTAATCAAAGCTTTTTCTATGGTGCAAAGACACAGTTACAAAGGGAGTGAAGTTACAAACTTACCCAAGACCAAGCATAGGACCTGACAAAACACGAGGAACAAACTAGACCACAACAAAGATATATTATTCTTGAGTTTTATAGGAGTTACATTGTAGAAAAAATTATGTATTGTTATAGAGATTCATTTTACGTTCCGTAATTTTTTTTTGCTTTAAAAGTGTGGATCCCACAAAATGTTATGTGTGTAGAAAACTTTTTTATGTCATATTAAATGAATGATAAATGCAAATCCCATTATTTTTATTAGGAATAGGTTATATTTATAAATTATTTATTTATAAATTCTTATAAATTATATTATATTCCTCTCTTTTTATTATAACAAAAATAAGCAAAATGATTAAGACACGACATAGCCTTTAACCAGGAATCTTCTCATTGTTCCTGAATGGTTGACCATGCTTCGGAATTTGAACATTTTGTTTTATTTTAAGCCCCTCGTGACTTATTTTAGGATAAGTGACCATTTCAAAAAAATTTACCACACGTCAACAGTAAATTCTCATTGTTCCAAAATGTAACTTGACATATTTTGTTACACTGTGTAGCAAAATATGTGTGCAAATAATTTGTTACATAGTGCAGCAAAATATGCCACGTCAGAATAAAAAATGTCACGTGTCAAACAGGGAGAATTTTGCTACACAGTGTAGCGAAATTCTCCCTATTTGACACGTGGCATTTTTGGTTCTGTGCATTCTGATGTGGCATATTTCGCTACATTGTGTAGCGAATTATTTGCACACATATTTTGCTACACAGTGTAACAAAATATGCCACGTGATATTTTGACAAAATTTACTGTTGGCGTGACAGTCTAGTTATTTTTTTTTTGCCAATAGTGACACTTTGGTCACTACTGTTCCCTTATTTTAAGCAGTGTGATGTTTTCACTTTTTTTTTTTTTTTTTAATATTTGGTTCATGTTGTGATAAGGGATGAAGGAATACAATCCTACACTAGTTTATATGCTCACAAAATACTTAATATTAGTAGTAAAAAAAAAAAATACTTAATATTAGAACTTGGAATTGGATCGGAGCCCTTTTTGGATAATGCTTTGAGTTAGTGCATCAGTACAAATATGGATTTCTTGCTATGGTCGAGGATATCATAGTTAAAATTTTAATTTATTATTTTATTTTTACTATTTTTTTCATCAAAATATTTTTATACTTTTACAAATTTTTTTACGTTATGATTTTATATTATATGATTTTTTATTTTCCTTTATTTTTAGGTAAAATCTTATTTTCAACTATCTTGTTCGAGGGCATGATTCTCGAAATATATATACACATTTCCTGGAGTTGTTTTGGTCAACAACTGAATTTGTCTTCCATGAAGATCCTTAAAATGACTGCCAGTAATACAGCGATGTTTATTCACCAATACAGCTCTTAATTTTGGCTTCCCAAGCTTGAATTTTAGATTCTAATGCTGCCACAAGATTTTAAATGTTCCTCAACAATTTTACTTAACAAATGATTAATAAAAACATTTCATTTTTCAAACAAAATTAGGGGAATGTTATAAGGGTTCTATGTTTATCATGTAACATGATATAACATTACTTTCCTACACACACATTAAAGAAGTGGGGTCCACATGTTTTTCTTTCTCTTTCATCATTTTACTTTCTATCTTCATTTTTTTGTGTGTGTTAAAAATAACACTTAAATCATGTAATGATACTGTTTTTTTAGTTTAATTAATGATAAAAAATAAAATAAAAACTCTGGTTGAGTCTGTTTATCACTTTATCGTAAAACAGAAGACCCAGAATTCCAGACAGCCACTGCAGTTGCAAGACGTGACAGTGTGACACGTCCTTTCATTTCGTCTTGTAGACAGTAATGCGAAAATCGGCATGGAGTCCCCATGCTCCCCAACTCGCATAATAAGTACGTGATCTTCACGTGACGTCCCACGTCACCCTCACTCAGTGGCAAGGCAACATTCATATCAGCCATTGGTGCTATGAGGCGGCTACTACATTCTTCTCTCATACGTGCCTTTCACGTGCTTCAGCACCCCGCAACTTCTTGCTCTACATTTCAGAACATAGATCAAACTCAAATTGTCATTATTTGTCAAATTTTTTATTCAAATATCACTAAATTGAAAATTTTAATATGATCTCCAACCATATTAATTTTTTGTGCTTCCTCTCACGTAACTTTTCTATTTTATTCTTGTTTTTTTATCTATTTTTCCATTTTACCCCTTATTTAACTAAAAGAGCAAGTGGTCAAGGACCACACAATTAATTTTCCACACAAACTGTATTTTTTTTTTTTTTTTGTACATACAAACTGTATTTTTTACTATACTGACCCGCGTCGAAATTTGCTATGATTGTTTATGACTTCACGACACATAATCATATTGCATACCAAATTTACTGTTATTACTGATAATAAACTTAGTCCAATTAACTTTTTCTTGCGAAAGTGTAACACGTGTCACAAATTTATTAGTGAACAAAATCGTAGCAAATTAAGTTGCAATTATTTGGTAAAAAAAATATTATTCGTATAACATTTAGATAAAAAAATTGTAAAAAAATAATGACAGTTTGATCGATGTTCCCTACGTCTCTCGGTCTTTTTTTTTTTTTTCTCTGCAGTATAACACAGAGTTGATAGCAGAGTGAAGTGTTCCAGAAGTAGAGTTCATGTACTACTCTATACCTCTCTCTCTTCCCCTTAGAAAGTATTGTACTATTGTCCCCGTTTGCCCCAAGTCCCCAACTTTCTATCTTCCCCTCCTTGTTTTGAGATTACACATTCATCTACCTTTTAATATTTCTCTTATTCTTTGAATCGAATGAACTCACACGAAACAAGAAACTTTGTATCAAAACGCTAAGAATTGCGGGGGAGGGGAGAAAGAAACAATAGAGCAATATTTTCACAATTCAGAGACAGACAACCATAGATAGTAACAATCGAAGTGAATCCAATTAATGAATTATATTATATTTATTACCAAACTTATCATAATAGTATAGTAATTATGGAAGAAAAGGTGAAAAGCGAGCTCTGAATGATTAAGAAAATACCCAATTTCATCATCATCAAATTCATTCGCAATACATACAGCAAGCCAATTTAGGTCCATCTTAACTTTCTTTGTGCATTGAATGAAACCCTATATTCAAGTTCAACTAGCTAAGGAAAGGTAAGAAGCGATTAATTGAGACCATATATAACAAAGCAAGCATAGGGATTATATAAACTGATTAAGAACATGAAGAGAAAGTTATATGTATACTTGTTCCCCAATAATAAGACGGTTTTTAATATCAATCCTTAAAAAAGATGACAAACCGAGGAACCCAAGAATTTCTTTCTATTTCTTCGTTCTGAAGAAGAAAAAGTAAAGAAATTATAAATAGAGAGAAAGAGAGAAAAAAAAAAGTAATAATTTTTATGTGCTTTTTCTGGGTTTGCTTTTCCGCCTGGCCCTGCTTCTCGAGGTCTCCCCTTTTGGGAGTTGAATCTCGTCAAACACTCCCTCTTCTCGCTGTTCTTCTTTCTTTGTTGAGCTCTCAGTGCCTTGTGTTGGTGCTGGTTCCTCTATTGATTCAACTTTTTTCTCTTGGCTTTCAGTTTCCACAACAACCTTACGAGGCCTGCCTCTTTTTCGAGGAGGCTGAGGTTGGATTTCTTGTTCCCCGGTGTCACCTCCTGTGGCTGTGGATGAAGCCTCAGCTATCGCTATGGAAAGCTCCTTCGTTTTTTGTCGCTTCTTTTTCCCCATAAATACTTACTTGTCTATCAAATATTAATAACAACAATAAGCTCCACTCCAACCACTCTATCACACCAATATACCCACTATGTCTGCTTCTCTACATCATCCATTTTCAGAGATATATCATTTAAAACCCGGGGATCATAAAAATCATATCTTTAAATCCCTTAGCCCTCTATTGATTCGCAAGAGAACCCTCCCGATACCATACACGGATGTTTCCTTCTTCTCTCTCACTCTCAAAATGTTAAAAAGCAAGAAGACCCGATATCTTTGACCAGAATCCAGATTCTGGAAATGTTAAAAAAGCAAGCACCCTTCTGAACTATATAGTGGAATATAATATAAAATAAAATTAATGACTACAGTACTTCATTCGGCCACCAATAGAAAATAAACGATTCATAAAAACTCAAAAGCCGTTTAAATCACGTTCTCCTTTTCTTTTTGTCAATTCACACCATCTGTGTCGTTCTAATACATATCTATTTTTATATCCTCAAAAATAAATAAAAGATATATGTCGTTAGCTAGAGGAGAGTCTAGTAATAGAGGCGAGAGCAGGGTGTGGTTAGAACTTAGAAGGAACCTCTTGCGCTTTGACTGCCCCATAAACTAACCCAAATAAGCGTGAAATGGATGGGCGAAAGTGGGAACGTAGTAGTAGCAGTAAGTAACCATGGTTAGGGGCGTGGACCAAAAGTGTGATGTGAAAATGGCATGTGGGCTTCTTAGGAAGGGTAAGGTAGCCAGCCAGGTTTGGTGTATTGGACTACTCAGACTCAGTGTTTCAGTCTGACCACTTGTGTCGCTTCCCGGGTTTCGTGTCCTCACTCTTCACCTTTAATTTTTGAGGTCGTTACATTTGTGTACCACCCTCTTTTATCATTTTGATTATTGACCATTGTTTATTAAATCATCAATCGATCATTGTGTAAATTCGTTGTAATACCGATCATGGAGAAGAGAATTATGCTCGTTGGCCTCGGGGACGAACATGATGGTGATTTGTGAGTATATGAACGCTGTGATGAATGTCATTGGGATGTTTAGTGGTGATGCTTTGGGTTATATGTTTAATTTTTGCTTATATATTTAAAAAAAATAGTGATTAATTGGCCCTAATAAATTAATAAACAAGATTAGATTTTTTTTTTTCCTTTAAGCTTTCAAGTTTTGATAACGAATTTTTTTTTTTTTTAGGAAAGTCGTTCTTATATACATTCCAACCGTATTTAAACCGAATAAATCAGATAACGATTAATTGGTTTAAAAAATAATAATCATGTTTAAACTTAGACGACTGACCTTGATGTTGTGCATTTTTTTGTTACCTTGCTTGTGTCCTTCTGTTTTTATTTGGTTTTAGGGGAAACAGTTACGGTTTTGCAAATTTGTTTATTGATTGCAGATAAATTATTTATATTTATTTTCAAAATTATATAATTTTGGGTTAAAAAATTATAATAATAAAGATTATTATAATTTTAAAATAAATTATAATTATACAAATACTTTAATTTTTATCCCAAAATAACATTATTTTGGCCTACTTATCTTTAGTCACTACTTAAAAAATAAACCTTTTTATTTATTGGAATTTTTTAACGAAAGGATGTTTTTTCTGCCTTGAACAGCACACAGTGGACAACATGATTGCAGAAAACATATTACTTGTGGTTTTAGCCAGGGTCTAAAATAACTTAATTTATTAATATTAATGACGCTAATCTGTGTTTGATTTTTACCCTGTGATTTATATAAGTGGGGTTATGTTTTTTTCTGGAAATTTGGGTACCTTTTTTTTTCCATGACATTAAGGTGAAGTTTCTTATTTGATTTTATGAGGTCAGGATTTGTCAGATTAGTCATAACTCATAAGCAGCCTTAATGGTTTTTCCGCCAATATTAGGATTAGGTGGGAGCCAAGCTTACTCGGAAATTAGAATTAAGCTTAATTTATGTTCCACTTAATAAAACCAAATTTAAGATCGTCTTATTTTAAACTTATAAATTGTTTGGATTTAATGAGTTAATATTAGATTTTATATTAATTAATATTTAAAGATTAATGAAATAGACTTGAATTTGTATTAGACAATCTATATATTATATATCGGTTTATTAATTTATGAATCGAGTGTACTGAAATTATTAATTTTTTATTTTTTTTTTCAAATAAATTACGTAATTATTATAAAATCTTTTATATATATTTTAATTAAATATATCAAATCCTTAAGCTATTAATAAGATCAGGCCGGAAGCAAACACAGAAATTGACCTCAGTCCTAATCAAATATACCAACGTGAAGACTAAGCCCCATGCAAGGAACTAGACAGGATATAATGCACTCTCAATAATGGCTAAAAGCCCGAAATGATTTACAACGACAAATTTTTTGCATTTTTGCAGTATAATCATATATTACTGTGGGAGCAAACTCGCGGACAAGCTTTCCTCTTCACTCCTTTATGCTTGTGAAGAAGCAGTCGTATCAACATCTTGGCATTTTCCTAGAGCACAATTGTCACTCGGTAATCAAATTAATATTTAAGTTTGGAACATGATAAGTGAAAGCGAATGCTTTCTTTTTATTTTCTCGCTGTCATATTGCTTTAGAGATTTATTTTGGTGCAAAGTTTTGCATAGTTTAATGTGTTTATACATACTAAAAATAGTTAAATTTTTAAGTAAATATTAAATTTAAATTAATTTGATCATGCAATATTGTATTAATTAAAGGAAAAAGTTAAAAAAATCCACCATATGAATTTGCTTTGAATCAATTACCTCCTATAATTTTTTTAATCACTTACACTTCTATATTTTTTTTCCATTCAAGCTCGTTATTAACACCGTTAGAAACTTAACTAATATGTCTTTTTTATCTTCTTAGAAAAGAAAAATAGCGTGATGACAAAAAAAAAATCAAATATATTAAAAACTTACAACACTTACAGAAAAAATAAAAAGTAAAAAAATAAAAAATAGAAGGACAACATCCAAATATGTCTAAATCAAAAAGAAGAAAATTGACTTAGGAAAAAGAAGAAGATAAGACCAAATATATTAAACCCTTACAACAATGACAAAAAAGACTAACAATAAAAAAGTTAAAATAGTCCAAATAAAAAATAAGAAAATATACCAGAGACAAAAAAGAAATAGAAGAAAAATTAAGACAAAAAATAAGATAAAAAAATAAAAGAAAAAAAATTAGTTTTGAAACTTTCCAATATTTTTTGTCTTATTTTTTCTTCTGCTTTTTGTCTTTTTTTTACTTATTTATTTTTGTCTTTTGATTTAAACATATTTGATCTTTTTTTTCTTCTATTTTAATTTTTTCACTTTGAGTCTTTTTTATCACTTTGGCAAGAAATAAAAGAAAAAATAAGATAAAAAAATAAATAGAAGAAAAAGAAATCAATGTTATAATTTCCGTTAGATTTAGTCTTTTTTTTTTACCCTCAGATTATTTCTTATTTTTGATTTTGACATATGTGATCTTATTTTTTTTCTTCAATTTTTTTTTATCTTCAGTCTATTTTTTCTTTTTGCTTAGACTAATTTTATTTTTTTCTTTTAATCTTTTCTACTATTGTTGTAATTTTTCAACATATTTGATTTTTTGTCCTCTATATCTATTTTCTTTTGGTCTTTTTTTCTTCTATTTTTATTTTTCCACTTTTAGTCTTTTTTATCACTGTTAAATTATATAGAAGAAAAAATAAAATAAAAAATAAAACAAAAAAGAAGTAGAAGAAAAAAAATCAGCGTTGTAAATTTCAACATACTTGGTCTTATTTTTTCTTCTTCTTTTTTCTCCATCTATTTTCTTCCCTTTGATTTAGACATGTTAGTCTTATTTTTTTCTTTTATTTTTTTTATCTTCATTCTATTTTCTTCTTTTTGATTTAGACTATTTTTTTTTTACTTTTAGTCTTTTCTATTAATGTAATTTTTAAGATATTTGATATTATTTTTTCTTATATTTTTTCCTCAATGTATTTTCTTCTATTTGATTTAGATGTATTTAGAATTTTTTCCTTCTATTTTTTTTACTTTTAATTTTTTTTATAAGTGTTGTAAGTTTTTAATATATTTGATATTTTTTTCCTTTTTTATCATCCGTCTATTTGCTTCTTCTAAAAAGAGTGAAATAGATAGATTATTTAAATTTCTAACGATATTAAGAATGAGTTTTGATGAAAGAAACTATACGAGATAAGTAATTAAAAAAAAGTATGAGTATCAGAGGATAAGTGATTCAAAGCATAGAAATTTTTTTTTAACTTTTTTCTTAATTAAATAAAGAGAAATATTATTCTGATGTTAAATGAGAGTAGTTCTCTGATGCTATAGAGAGAATTCAAAGGGAGGCATCATTAAAAAGCAAAAAAGAATGTTATCAAAAAAATAAAAAAATAAAAAGCAAAAAAGAAAAGAAGAAGAAGAGGGGGTGCGATTTTCAAAGGGAGAGAACATGAGATAACTATCTCTTATAAAATGATAGTAGTATTTCCCTGAATTAAAGGTACAAACTCATTTCATGAAGATTCAAAACTAAATCAATTATAAAACTATTAATTCGGTAAATATAAATAAACTTAAACAGTATAATAAAGAATTGAAAATGTAATTAATTAAAATAATATTTTAAAAAACCAGATGCACATAACTTTTAAAGTTTTACAAGATTTAAAGGCGGATTTCAATCTGTGAATGTGTCCTTGGTTTTCCTCATTTTCATATCTTATAGTTTTACAAGATTTATTGCATGATTACCTGACCAGCAACGATTTCAATGTTTATATTGGAGGATTTCATTGATTAACTGGAATATGAAAATGGTAAGCATCCGACAAAGGAGAAGCTGCGAACCACAGCCTTCAGATTATTTAATACTCTACTTACAAAACCTGAACCAATTTGTCATCGCCTCGTGAAGTTTTTTTTTTTTTTTTGATAAACACAAATATTCTTCGCACGAGGCTAAACCAACATTTTAAGATTTTGAGTTTAAAGTATTTCTTTACAAAATTTGTTCTTAACAGTTAACGTATTCGTCTCTCTGTTTTGGGTTATAGGTAGCTGATTATAGAAGCTTCAAACCGGACCACGGAGAAGTCTACATTAGCATACATAGATAGGGAAGATGGTGAACTAATGGTTTAATGCTTTGGGGAATGAGTTGGTGTTGGAATTGCGCTTGGCATCTGTATAGGTTGACCTGTTAATTTGTTATTTAAGAGATCAACGGCGCGGATGCTGGTGGTTGTCATTGTCTGCACTTATAAAGTTGTAGAAATTTTTTTTCACAAAAGTGTGTGTGATTCAAGTCAAGTAAAAAGAATAAGAAGATCGAAAGAAAAATGGTAAAGAGTGGAGGAGAACCACACGGAATTTTTCACGTTTTGTTGTGAAATAAAATTGGCTAACTTTGGATTAAATAGATATCGACAAATGTGGGTTTTTAATCAATTAACCCCTACAATT